CTAAACATATCCCCAATCATCCATAATTTGATCACGTTTGTGGCTGTCATGGATATTTATATATATATTCCATGTAAATCAATTCATCGGCCATTTTTTTTCTATGTCGTCCGAAACACGAACCGCAAATTTTAGCTTTGTTTGTCGTTGAAACGCATTGATGTGTAATAAACCCAATTGCATTTGTTTTGAATATATAAATAAATCATAAAAAATAACAAAGGTTACGCCATTTTTTGTTAGATGATTGTTTTTGTTGTTCTCTCTTTTCCGTTTCCGTTTTCGCTTTGTTGCTTTGTTTTTATTTTGTTTCCGTTTCTAGAACGTGCATGGCATACTAATATGGTCTAAATGTCAAGAGGGGTGGAGCTGAAAGATATATACAAGTCCTATCTGGCAACTCCTAACCCTCGCCTGCGCCTACATTTGATTAATCAAACAAAAAGTGTTGAAAATGTTATTTTGCCAGCCTTGCAAATGGCGCATTTGGATTTTTATGGGCCACACACTGATTTTTACGATATACATACTCAACCCAAAAAGCCACAAATTGGGACCATTTCTGGCCATCTCGGCCCAAATGTAGCCATAATAAAGCCTTGTCATGACAAACATTTACAAATCATAAAATCTACCCCAGTGCCCGAAAATTTCAATTCATTCAATCGACCATAAAATTTGATATGATTTCTAGGCCCCATCCTTGATCCCTGAAGACAAGTCAAAGTGGACCAAAAGTGTCGTGGCAATTGCTCATTAAGCATGGCAAGTGCACAGTGCGCGTCATAAATCTATAGAGCAAGCAGTCCGAGCAATTAGTCAAACGATGAGCTGGTTGGGGAGACAAATTACAGAAGCGACAAAAGGAAGAGCCTCTGACTTTGCACGGAAATTGTAAAAAAAAAAAGTAAGGACAAGGGTAAACTGAAAGGAAAAGCTTGCAAACCGCTTTCGCAGCAGCTTCATTAACGACCATGTGTGTGGGTAAGGATGGGATCACTAAGAAAATAGTTCTCATTTAGGTTTTAAGTTTAATTTGATTAAAAAGAGGCTTCATTGAAATACAAATTATTTGATTAAATGGTACAAAAATGAGGTAAAAAGAATCTTTTAATTTATTTATTTATTTATTTATTTAATTTATATCAGATAAATCTATTATTTTTTCTCTGTGCAAATAAGAGTGGATCGGTAGCTGGGGCCATAACGACGACTCGACTGGCAGTTTGTCATTTAACATTTGGCAAACGTATTAAAACACCCCATCATTGCCTTAATTAAGAGCCATAAAAGCACATTTACTTATTGTTCGTCGCTGTCTCTTCCGCTGACTCTCACTCTCTCACTCTTTCTCCGCCTTTTTTTCACCATCTCTTTCTACAGCTTTTTGCACGTCTTTGTGCTTATTTATCCCAGGGATCCCCTTTAGTATAACATACCCATACCACCCACATTACTTTACTGCCGAGTAAATCCAACCCACTTTCCCACCCACTTTACCATCCTCTTAGCGTCCATTTGTCGTGCTTAATTCATGGCTAAAGTTGGAATTAAGTGAATTTTACGTTCATTAACGTGCGAGGGTTGTGCTCTACGTGTGTGCGTGAGTGGGTGGTCTGGATGGTTGGATGGCATTTGGTTGCCATGTTTTATGGCCAATGGGTTCGTGACAAGGGGGATTGGGGGATGGTGCTCAAATGGGCGCCATTCAAATGGTAAATGGTGGTGGACTGTTGCTGATGGCGGCTACAGAATAGGTGGATAGGTGGAGGTTAAACGGGCTTTTTGCGCCTCAGACAGTGTTGATAATTAGCCGAGCGTCTAATGCTGCACTAATAACGTAAATTTGTGGCACAGTTAACGGGAGGGATCGCAGGGGTTGCGACCATAGTGAAATTGTGCGACCCAAGGTGGCAAATCAATGTCTAGTTTAGTTCGCCACTAATTTAAGCGGACTGTCGATTAAGCTAAACTTCGATTAATTACTTAAACTAGAGATTACTATATATTTATGATAAGCATAACTAACTACTAATGTAATATTCTGTATTAGAAAAATCTGTTTAGACTAAGAGATGGTTAAAAGTTGATTAAAAACTTGAGTGTACATCTTTTTGGTTTTCAAATAAGTCTCAAACGTAAATATCTCAAAAACAATAAGAAAACAAACTAAAAATCCCAAAAAACAGAATTAAATAAATAAATATAAAACAAATTTCCTACGACTTTGGTCCACTTACGACTGCCAACTAATTGGACTCACACAACTTTCTACTACCGAACTACACAAGTGAAAAGTTTGCGAATGTCCTCGAAAACTTTCAAGTCCAGAGCCATCACAACCAACTAACTAGCCAGAAATGTTGACCACTCTCATACACACACACACACTCACAGAAACTTACACACATAAAAAGTGGAAATCTTTTACCGGAAAACGAAGAGTAAAATGTGCCGCAATGCTGCGAATTGCCTGTTAATTAGTCTCACTTAGAAAATAAACTGCAGTAATTAAGAGCAGAGGCAGACAAATAAAAAACCAGCAGTGGAAAATTCCCTTAGGTAGCCAACGCCCCGAAAAACTAGTTGAAGTTTTCCCCCCCACCACCAACACAGTTTTTCCCGTTGCCATTTCCACATCCCACTGGAGTGAGCATTTTAATTTCAACGCTAGAATTCTAATTAACAAACAAATCCGGCAGAATACACAGCAGTCGAGAGTAAAAAATCCCCCAAAGGAAAACTGGGGGGGAGGGTGAAATAGGAGAGGAGCTACGGACATGACAGCAAAAAAGTATGCTACATAAAAAGAGAGAGGAGGAGGAGAGAAATGGGAGGGAGAACCCTGTGAGCCATGATCTCCCAATTTAATATTATAATTGCTACAATTATCATTCTCATGCCATTTACACAGCAATTGCACAAAAACAACCAACGAAGGAAGCCGGCAAAAGGGAAGTGAAAAATAAAAGGAGTGGGAGGGGGTGAGGGTGGAAAGCGGATCCGGATATGTACGGCAAATTGAAGCAATTACCGGGAGTCCCCCGCCGGAAAACTCTATATAAAGCCAATCCCAGACTCCTCCCACAAATATGAAGCTCTCTTTCTCGCTTGCGCAGGCGCTTAAAAGAAAAGGGAAAGGGGAAGGAAGAATGTAGAAAGAGAAAGAAAAAAAGAGAGATGGCTTCTTCCAAAAAAAAATATGTCTTAAGAGGAATTCCCCCTGCAAACCTTGATGATGATGATGGCGTTGATTATATAGAGAAAAAAAAAACGATAAAAAATGAAGAAAAAAGGCAGAAGTGAGGAGAGTTTTTAAAATTTATTACCCACCCAAAAGAAAGTTATTTGAAATGAAAGAGAAAACAATTTTCCACCACCGAAGGCCAAATCTTATTATGCCCACGCTCGCTATCTAAAAAACAACATTAATTGATTGTACATCGAGGATAATTGTTAAGTTTTTCAGGTTAGAGAGGGAGGCCTGAAATTGATTACAAAATGTTTTTGCAGCTGTTATTATTAAATTAATTTGTCATCAAACAAAAGTCCCCACTCACAAATCTGCATAAAAGCTCGCTATCCAACTTCTGGCTTACAAAAACATGACACGAAAATAATCACAAATGTTGTTGATAAAATCCCTAGACATGAGCGGGAATTTGTTTGAATATGATGAACGAAAATCATCGGAATATGGGGGGTCTATATAGATTAGAACTCCGTACGTCATGTAAATGAGTTTTATCGCACGGAATCTAACTAATTGAATTTGATAAATTGATAAAATATGGGGGATATACCAATTGGTGAATAGTAGTACTCTTCTGGGTTACCCTGTGTAAAATTATGATTAAGTAGTATTAGTTTTCTAAGAACTTAATGATTTAAAGTTTATATATTAAATATAAAAAGAAGTGAGTTTAAAATAACTTTTAGCAAAGCAACGAAAATATTTTTAATCCAATTTTAGTTATTCAAACCATTTATAAAATGATAATACTCCCTAACCCCATTATATACCCCTTACAATTATGGAGCATTAAGTGTGACAGTTTTACCTCACTTGTCTGGAATTCAGACAGCTGTCCACTTAACCACCCACCCGCCACATCATATGTATGATATATTTCACCACCCTCAAACTAAACGTACCCAAAAATGAATGGAAAAAAATTTGGGGGGATCATCAAAAGTACAAAGTACAGTTAAGCAATAATCAATTGCTAAGCAATTGTTGTCATCATTTGTTGTTGCTGTGCGATTCGAAGTTGTCATTTGATTTGTTGCTGCCGCTGTTGTAGCTGTAGTCATTGGGTTTTCAACAGAAGTCAACACCAGAACAGATAAAAGACAACAGCAACATTGCAATGTGTAATTATCGTTGTCACTAATTAAAGTTGGATGATGACTAAAAAGGAAAACAAATTTCAGAATCTTATCATCGGTGGCTAGGGGATTTTCAAGACACAGACTTGATGGAAAGCCAAAGCAGACAACCTGGCGTAGTATTTCATAAATCCTAATCAGGCGAAATATTTGTTTCTCTTCTTTTTTCCTTTTTCATTTAGCGATAAGTCTATGGAATTTATTAACCAACTTGGTTTTTGGTTGATGGGCCGTAAAGTTAATAAGTGTCTAAAATTATTGGGTTTTATTGAGGCCCACTTGGAAACGTTTGACCTTAAGTTGCAATGTTAAGTTTTAAATGTTCGGCGCCAAATTCGATTACTCAGACTAAAAGGAATGTGGTAAATTTCTTAAAATATTTCTTATAATTTAATTAAAAATTTTATTCAAGAATAATTAAAATATTTTCTTTACAGATACTAAGATAAATATAATACATTATCAATTTATTTTTGTAATTTAAATTATGATATATCAATATATATTTAAAGCCGCCAAAATTATTTGAATAAAATTTTAATACCAAAAAATACCAAAACCTTCGCAGTCTATAGCCGTTCAATCGATACATTAAATGTCAAACAATCGATATATCGATAACACCGAAGGTTTTTCCATCGCATTTACTTTTATTATTATTATTGTGCTTTACAACAGAATGCGGAGCAAGCAATTTATATTTCTCGCCATTTCGGCCTGCTTTTTGGTGACCATAAAATCGACGCCCTTAAGGTGAGTTTAAGGGTCTAGAATAGAGAACTATTAAACGTCTGATTGGAATCTTTCCTGGATTCCTGCCAACCAACCAACTATATACATATAACAGTAATCCGGGAAATATATTCAAGTTCAAGGTTGACTAGTAGTCCACTTCTTGCCTAACAATAAACAAAAGCCCCTGTAAAACCGATTAAATTACTCATGTTCACATGCTTTGCATTCTAGCGACATATCGGATTCGGATGAATCAACTTCGGTGGATGAAAAACCACAGAAAAATCCAGATGATTATAGTAAATTTGGCGTGTTCCCCTTTAAGGATGAAGATGAATCATTGCAAGACTCTTCGGGGGAGATGTCCGTACAGGATCACAACTGGGATGTTTTAATTTTCACGCAACAATGGCCGGTGACCACATGCTATCATTGGCGCGAGGAAAACCCCGACCAAGAGTGCAGTTTGCCCCAAAAGAAGGAATTTTGGACCATCCACGGCATCTGGCCAACGAAACTTCACCAACTCGGACCCAATTTCTGCAATAATTCAGCCAGCTTCAATCCGGACAAGCTTGAACCAATTGAGGATCGTTTGGAGACTTTTTGGCCAGATCTTAAGGGAGAGGATACCACGGAGTGGCTGTGGAAACACGAGTGGCAGAAGCATGGAACGTGTGCTATGCTTCTAGAGGAACTAGACAGCGAACTAAAGTACTTTCAAAAAGGACTATCATGGAGGGAGGAGTACATTATGTCGCGTATCTTGGATGCCTCTGACATTCATCCTGATTCCAACAACACGGTTGCGGCAATAAATAATGCAATAGTCAAAGCACTGGGAAAGAATCCCTCGATCCATTGCCTGTACGACAGCAAACACGGCATCAGTTATCTCTCGGAGATTCGAATTTGCTTTAGCAAATCGCTGGAGCTCATTGATTGCGATGGTGTCAAACAGGGCGATGCAGTGCCCGTTGGCGTTCCCGGTGGCACCATTATCACCAATTGCCATATCGGCAGTCTCGTTCATTATCCGAGCTTGGTGCCACCGCAGCAAAGGAAAAGCAATTGGAAGTTACCATTGGTTAACGTCTACAAACTGCTGCAGTTCCTCATGTGGTTCACCTTGTAAAGAGGACATTTTTGTAACCCAAGTTGGGAAATATTTTGAGGCGCGCCTTAGGAGGACTCATCGTTAACTCCACTATTGTTTAATCCTTCCATTGATTTAATGTTTTGGAGATTCGAAGCTTAACAATCATAAGCGTACGTACGTTTTAAATAGCTGCAAATCTAGTAAATTATAAACAAAAGAGGTCATATTTTATATTATTATTACTTGCGAAGGTCTATGAACTTATATATTCACATTTGTTGGCCACTTATAATTGATTACTTACCCTAAATCGATGGTATTATTTGAAATTGTACAAAAATGGATATTTTCAACGAAGCAATATCATCAAGTTTCACACTTATTAGTTTTTAAGCTCACATTTGTTGGGATTAACTTTATCCCTTTCATTGCAGGGGACATGGATATTCGATTAAAAAGACAACAATTAATATGTATTTTGAAATACATACTGTGTAATTATTTAAATCATTTTTTATATAATTTCTTTAGCAGCAATTCCTGCAAAATTGTTTTTGAGACGCAGATATTTTTGTTAAATTTAAATTAAATCTGCTTCTTAGAGTGACTTAAGGCTGTCTTATCTTCCTGTATCTCTTACTAGCTTTTAAGGTCACATTTGTTTAATTAAAACACATCGAATTGATATTTTGAAATATTGAATTGATATAATTAAATTTAGCATAACAGATTATTGCGTATAGATTGAACTCTAGTGACTGCTTTCAAACAGATTGCTGGATAAGGAAAATTGTGTTTTATTGCTGCTGTGTAGAATTGCCATTGTAAGTGGCCTTGTCCTTATCCTTGTCGTCGTTTTTCGTATCATGAAGTCGTCGAATGTTTGCATCCCCATACTTTGGCGGCTGATAGCCACCGGGTCGCTGCTGGAATTGCTGAGACTGGGAGCCGGAAGCCTGGCTGGTGTTATGAGCCGGTGGAGTATTTCCTGGTCCCTGTTGGGTTTGTGGAGCGGGTCTGTCGGCAGCTCCATTCCCGGAAGTCTCCGTAGCTCTTTGCGATGTAGAAGGCTCATCGTAGCCAGGAGCTGGCGTTGGACGCAGGTAAAACATTTCCATGTTGCGACGAACGGCACTATAAAATCAAGGCATTTGAAAATTGATAGCTCTACATAATAAAGAACCACTTACGCATCGGCTGGGTTAGTGTCTACCTCAACCTGTCGTCCTGGCCACCGAACGTTAGCTATCATTTCGTTCAATTTCTGGGTGAGTGGACGCAGTCCCATTTTGTGGATATAGTCGAAAGCCTTGGCAGCCGGTGTGATCATAGCCCAAATGACCGTGGCCAGCATGGTCATCAAAGATCCCCCACTGCGAACCACACGATTCACTTGCTCCTTGGTTAGCACCAGCACCACTGCATTGGGCACCAGATTTAGCTCACTCAGGGTCTTGACCTCATCTTCCGTTTGGAACTCCCTACGAGGATAACTGGTGGCCAGGGTGAAATCTCGTACATCGCTCCCAGCTAGTAGCTCATTTCGAACATAGACACGTACGGTTGCCAGCACTTCACCAGCTGGAAAGGATTTGGTGCGTTGTATCCCACCGGGCAAACGTATCTGCAGCCTGGTCTCGTCCACAGAACTAACCGAGGAATCTGGTGTTATGGCTGTCGAGACACCGGTTGCAGCCACAGAGTTGTTGGTGCTGCTTATATCGGCTGAATTAAAACGTTGTGCCTGCTCCGCTCGATCAGCGGCGATCTGGGCACGAATCCGCTCCCTTGCCTGCTGCTCCTCCTGACGTTCGCGACGTATTTGCTCCTAAAATTATAAACATGATTTAAGTTTATTATTCTAAGTGATTATATGGATTATTCTATGTAGTTCATTACCTGCATATTTTTGAGCTCCTGCTCCTTGTTTCTAGCCTGCTGAGTCTGTGCCTCTTTCCCCTCCTTGCGTCGTCTTAGCTCGTTTTCTTTTTCGCGGCGTTTCTCCTCCTCCACTCGTTCCCTTCGCTTTTCTTCTAGAAGGTTCCGGACCTCCGTCAACCTTTCTTCGGATTCCGTTATTCCCTGATCTCCTGCTGGTCGCTGTGTTGAAACTGGAACAGCAGGTGTTAGGAGCGGAACAGTCGATATAAGATTAGTGGTGGCGTAATTTCGGGCAGCAGCTGCTCCGGATGTTGATGCTGATGACTCCACTTTACTGGCTCCTGCTCTCTTCTCGGCTGCCAAAGCGCCTGGGGAAACAGCTGCCTTCTCTGTGTCAGTACCGGATTTTTCGTCCAAGCTGGAGGTTGATAAGGCAGCAGGAATTGAGGAAAAACTAGCCTCTGCAGGCGAATTTGGAGGGTTTGTCTCTTGTTCCTCCATTTCTTCAATTGGGGAGTTGGAAACTGATGTAGTTTCAGGAGCTTCAAATTTGTCTGGAACTGAAAAATTTGAACATAGTTCTAAAAACCTTATTTCAATGGAATTTAAGCTTAAGGTATTTGTGTTTTAGTTATTTCCATTTGCCTCAAATTTCCAGAATTGACCTTTGACTACCTGTTTGAGCTGATTGATTTTCTCCGGTTCCCAAACTAGTTGATTCATCTGCTCCCGCAAAGCTTCTAACAGGATTGGGCTCCAATACATCCGAACTCGAGGAGTAGCTGGCGGCTGCCTCGGTCTCCGTTCGCTTTCCCGACAGGATCAGGACCTTATCGATTTTATCGGTCAGTTCTTCCACGCTCTCCGTAATCCCAGTGGCTATTTCCAGAGGTGTGCCCGACTTGCCAATAAAAAAGAGTGACGGTACGGGCACTACTCTGTCTACAAAATCAAATATAAGTCTTTTAAAGATCTTGGATTAATTACTATCCGTTGAGATACTAACATAGCGACATAAACTGTCCGTAGGCTGAACTATTTCCCTGGACTTTGATGGCGACAAAATCGTTAGTTTCCAAACGAGATCGCACCCGGCTATCATCCACGAATCGTTCCAGCTTTCGGGTCATCTCATCCTGGCCTGGAAATCAGGTGAAATTCGTCAGAATGACGTGGTGAAAAATAGCAATACAAAGGGGTTACTAATTACCCTCAATGAAGACCACAAAGATGGCGTCCTTGGCCTTTGATTCTGCCACGGCCTCCGCAATGTTGCCCGTGTGCCAGTTCATGTTTTGGATCGAATTATCGACTTGATTCGGATACGGGTAATTTTGCTGCTTTTGTTATTCCAGAAATATTTTTCTGCCGACAGCTGACTCCCGGGTATCGACATATCCAATATCGATAAGTAATCATAAAATATTTTTTTTAATTATCCAAAGCATATTCTTTTTATATTTAAAAAGTTTGATTTCGTTTCATTTTAAAATATCTATTTGCTCATTATCTTAATTTTTTAAATGGTTAAAACAAGCATTCGATATCTTACTCGATTATAATCACAAGCCCGCTGCATTTTAAATACAAATTTTAAAATATTTCTTTATGTTTTAATTTTACTGAAATTTTTAAAAATAATCTAAAATAGAAAATGTGTTCCTAAAATATTACTAATGAAGAAATGGTTTTATTTTTTCGGTAAGTGTCATTAGGAAATGTAAATAAATATTAGGCAAAGCATTTGAAGTCTCTTTAGTATCTCATCAGGAAATAAAGACATAATTGCCAAATAGAATAAAGTCATAATAAGGCAATTTATAAATTATAAAAGCCTATATAATATTATAACAACTTTTCATTGATTGATTTGGTTGACTTTTTTCATATGAACCATACTAGTTTTTAAACCACTAATAAAGTAGTAAAAAAAAGTATTACTTTTTTGAATAACGTAAAATGGAAGTACCCTTTTAAATATTATTTTTTTTTATAAAAATTGAAAAAATACAATAATGCTTTGATAGTTTGTTGTTGTAAAGGATTATCAGCGTTCAGTACACAAATATATTTTATGGCGATAGTTCCCTCAAAATAAAGTTGTAGACTCAATCATATATATCCAGGGAATCGCCATACAGGTAATATTTTTTATTTAATACATTATACATTATAAAAAATGAATGACTTTCTTCCTTAAACGGAGAATTTTTTCTGAATGGCGATTGTCTTATAGTAAACTATTAGTCAATCGAGATATCTTATAACAAGATATAAGTGATAGTAAGGGGACCCGCTTAGTTCCTACTCGCTGGAGTTACCTGCAAGGAAATCATATATTACTAAGATGGTTTAACGTGGTTTTTAAGGAGTTTATCTGGCAACTTCGCAGGACACTTTCTCTTACCCTCGTCAATGTCAGAATTTATGATGGAACTGGCCGGAGTTACGGAGATCTCACTGCGCTCTACGTCCGGAAGACGGGCCACACGTACAATACATCTTTTTGGTTTTGGTTTTAATGGAAATGGACGTTGAATCGGAGTGGTTGCAGACTTTATACGCTCCAAATTCACGCGACATTTTCGCACCTGGTACTCTACCTCGCGCTCCACGCTACGCTCACTTTGCACGCTGAAGTACGGGTGCCGTGGGATCTTGACCACTATTTTTTTTGCTTTTGGCGACATGGTTTTGTTTGGATTATAAAAAAAACTCTTCTTAATTAGGGGACGAAATTCTTGCAATTTTTGTTGACTAGACGCCAAATCGGAGCCGTCGCAAGAACTATCGATAGTCGGAAAATCTAACAGACCAGGTGCTCTAGCTATTTTCGAGCTAATTCGATTGGTAGTTTTTACCGATAATATTAACAAACATTTTTTAATTGCTAATAAAACTGGCTTTAAAGGTATCATTATTGCTTAATGTTTAAGCCGTAGTGTAACTAGCCGATTTTATGTCTTCATTAATTGTAGCTGTTAAAACTATTTCATGTACCGATAGATATCATATAGTAATCGATATTTCACTATCGCCTACATTTGTTTTTGTGTGGTGTCATTGTAAAATTTCTTTTTATAAAATACAACACGAATAAACACGAAAACTATACCAAAAATTTTGAAAATCATTTTAAAAACGTCATGAGTGAAGTACAGACCCTTATGGATATGGGATTTCCCCGGGAGCGTGTGTAAGTGTCAAGGCATAGACGATTTTCCACCGGCAAAAATTGAGTTTTGTTTTTGTTGGAATTTTCCGCAGGGAATATGCTCTGCAGGTGACCAGTAATAAGGGTGTAGAACCAGCTATGGAATGGTTACTGGCCCACGTGGACGATCCGATACCATCAAGTCAAAATGCCGGGGATCCCCCGGGTTCCGGGGTCTCAGCCACGACTTCAGATAACTCTTCCGCTGGGGCAGCTTCTAGTAGCACAAGCGGTGCCGGTGAAACCTCTGCGGATTCCCCTGTTGCCAAGTCCCTAAAATGCGACGATTGCGGAAAGATTTTAAAGGATCACACCGAAGTGGAGTACCATGCAGCCAAAACCGGACACAGCAACTTCTCCGAGTCAACGGAGGAAAAAAAAGCCTTAACCGAGGAGGAGAAAAAGGCACAGTTGGCACTCATCGAGGAGAAGCTCAAGCAGAAGCGCATCGAACGCGAGGAACGTGAAAAAACTGAAGCTCTGCAGCGGGAAAAGAATCGTATCAAATCTGGAAAGGACATGACCGAGGCCAAGCGGCGCATGGAGGAACTTGAGATGAAGAAGATCGTGGAGCAGCGTAAGCGCGAAAAAGATGAGGAGAAGGCAGCCCGGGATCGAGTAAGGGCTCAAATCGAGGCAGACAAAGCAGCACGCAAGGCTAGGTAAGAATCATCCAAAAGCTTTATCAGTATATTTCCTCACCTTTACCCTCAGAGAACAAAAAAGAACTGGGAAATCCAGAACCAGCTCCCTCTGTGAGTTCCACCACAGTGTCGTCGCCACCGGCAGGTGTGAAGTCTCCGCCGCGAGACTACACAGAAACACGCATCCAGGTGCGCCTGCAGGACGGCTCCACTCTTCAGGAGACCTTCAACGTAAAAGGAACAGCTATCAGCCGTACGTGTGTTTATCCAGATGAAAACCGGCATCGATTCGCCCTTCTCCCTGATGACCACCTTTCCGCGCAAATTGTTCGCCGAGGACGATTACGAGAAGCCCCTGGAGGTGCTCGGACTGGTTCCATCCGCCGTCATCACCATGACCAAGACGGCCGCATAAATATGTCCTTCCAACTGGGCAATGGAAAAAAAGCTGGGAATCTCCCAGAACTAAACGAAATGTCTAGAAACTAAAAACAAAACGAAACGCGGCGCGATATTCCCTCAAAAACATTAAATGTACGGTTTTATATATGTATTAAACAAGAAAAACTAATCTTACGGACAATTTAAGCCGAAATGCGAATATTTTGAAAAGGATATTTTACAAGAAATCACAATACATCTCATCTGTATCATTTAGAACCCAGAAATCTATATTATTACTTTAAACCACAAATTTTCTTCCAAAAAGATTTTCAGTTTTTTTTTTTTTTATTAAAAACTAACTCTAGAGCAAATCAGCACCTACATAAAGGGCTGCACACAGCTCTTGATTTTCTTAACGCTTCGCTCCGCAGGTCGAATATTTAGGTGTTGGCCGAAAATGGTAAACTCCATATTGCCCACCTTCATACCAAAGACACATTGGCTCTTGGGTATTGTCCTCAATCGATTATCTTTGCTCAGAATTTTCAGCACATTCTTAGTGTCCATGACGCAGATTCCTTCTAAATTCTCTAGGGTGCGGCACTTAGATTCAATAACTTCAACTTAGCACCATGTAAAATCTAGTTTAACCAACTGCCGGCTAAATTCATCGTAATGACGATCATGGACTTCGGGCACTTCGGAACCTTCCTTTAATTCCAGATGTTCGCGAACATATCCTTTCCAGAGATTATGAAGTGGCAGAGCCTCCTCATATTTCATTTGTTTGGTTGGAAGTGTATTTAATCCAAGCTCTGCATATTCCTTTGCGACTGAGTGTTCTAGATTTGTGAGCACGACGCTTTCGGGAGTGCTGCTTGATCTTAGTGCCCTCCAGCATGGTAATGTGGTCTGGATTGATGTTCACATTGCAGCGGTGATGGGGAATCACTTGATCTGTGATAAACTCCCTTAAGTCACTCGTCACGTGCTCCATTTAATTTTCAATATCGAAGTCAACATAAATATTCAAGTCAAATTATAATCTTATGTTTTTGTTTTGTATTAAAGCCAATCGACATCGTGCCTGCTGCCAACACATATCGGTCAATCGATATCTATTAGAAATTTGAAAATAGTATTTTAATTATAGTCAACAATGTTGATTCATGAAGTTCTCCTGAAAGACAACCAACAAAATAAATGTATATCCTGAATTGACAATAGCCTGCTCAAAATGCGAAGAAAAGGAAGCATATAAATATATTTCTTGCAATTTAATTTTCAGTATTTTTATAGCTTATCAGTATATTGTTAGGGTATTAAGATATGTTCACTCTAGTCGCTATATTTCGTTTCTCTTTTTTTCTTTGATGCTCTTTTATAAATTTCAGAAAGTTATAGATGGCGTGTTATCGCCACTTAACAGAATCCTGTCAGAAGATTAAGAAATTGCACATACGACAGGTGTTTGATCTTGTTCTACCAGATAATCAGTGTCAGATTTATTACTACTGTTTAGCGAACTTAGTTAAAGAAATGAATTTATTAATTAAGTTTAATAAGAACACAATTATTTATATCTTTTAAATAGCGCTTATGTGTTTGTATTAAATTTATTTTTATAATTTATGATTTAAAATGAATAATCTAAGTGAAAGAAAGAAAATAAGTAAGATAAAGTTATAAAACAAAATTACTAGGACCTTAATTTTGGTTTAAAAAATAGCAATCAAAAAATCTAAAGGTATCAACGGTTGCTGTTAACTCGAACTCTGCTAAGAGTATATCAGCAGCGCAAAGAGAAAAGAAACAAGAGCGAACTGAGTGAGAGCGCAAGGCATCCAGTGTGAACAGCAGTGAGAAAACGCCATATTCACAACTTCTTCCACGAACATATCGAACATATGGTCGCCCACACCTCCCCCCCTCAGCACGAAACAACTTTCGACCGCAGCGGAACACCAAGCGCAAAATCGGAATAATCGCTTACAAGAAAAAGTGCCCGCCGCGTGATCGAAAAAACCAAATAAAGTCGAAAAAGGGGAAGCTGCGAGGTAAAATTGAACGCCAACCGCTCGACCCTTTTAGCCACGCCCCAGACCGTGCGATAACAAAGATAATGCAATAAAAGGCAATAAAAGCTGCAAGAGAGCCAAGAAACGTGAACCAGGCAAAATTTTGTTTGTTTGTTTGCCTCTGCTTGCATATACATATACATAGTAGCAAACGTGCGAGATTTTGTGTCTGTGTGTGTGTGAGCAGCCAAAAGTATTAGTAGTAGTAACACACAAACAAAAAACAACAAATTCGTGCGCGTTTTTTTACACAATAATTATTAAACAAAATTACAAATTGTACCCCTCTGTCACTCTCTATCTTTCTCACACACACGCACGAATATTACCCCCGGCGCGTTTTTCGTCTGTCTCTACCACTCAAAGGCGGAAGAGCTAAACAAAAATTGTGAAAAATAAAAACGAAAAACTGCCACTCAATAATTTGTGTTTTTAAAGGTAAATCTAAAGAGAAATACACACGTTTAATTAGTCCGAAAGCTAAGCTAAAACCCAAATATATTTCATCCCCGGGCCAATTTCTTTTCCTGCTTTTTTTCGCTGTTTCATTTGAGCGCTTTTTTTTTGTTTGTTTGTCTTATTGTTTGTTCATTTCAAGCTCTCATCATTGTTTGGCCTAAAAATTGGTACCGTATGAAAAGTCGGGGTTTTTAGTGATTTTTCGTGGGTTTTCGTAGGTGTTTTTGAGCGGCTTTTGCGCAGGCAGCGCAGTCGAAAAACACTCAGAATCGCACTCACATGCGCACACACAGTTACAGCACACACGCACACAGTTACAACTGTAATATACGGCGCCCCGGTCGCGAGCCAGCTAATCGGCAATTTTTCTGTCCTCTCGCGCTCTCTTCCATTTTCGTATTTCGGTTTTTTTTTTTTTCGTGTCCAGCTTCATTTGCCACCAAAATTTGAAAGCAAACAAAAGTAATGGCAATTAAAGTACAGTGGAATAATCCGAAAAGAGAATTTTAAAGAGAATAAGAGTGTTTCGCACATTTTTTAAATGTTATTTAAATTTTATATTTTTGATTTAGAAGTTGGAGGAGAAGAAAGGACTAACAAATTGTAGAGTAATACACCAACGAAGTATGTATC